AGTCTTTCAGAGAACACAATAGCAGCCTTCAGTGCTTAAGGTGGAGGTGCTGTTGATCAGCTGCCCAAACAATCCCACACACAAAGTGAATGTCATGATTCTGAAATGTTACATCAAGTTGCCGGTCTCTGATGCCAAACCACAACCCTGCTCATGCATTACAAAATGGGAGTGAACAATGTTTAAGCCATGAGTAGCGTCTTAAATGGACACATTTGTCAGCTATAAAAGATGACTCAGGCTCATTAGCCCCCTTCTCATTAAGTCTCCTCTAGAAAAATCTCCCCATTGTTCAATAAAATTCCTTTAAAGGAGACTGAGAGGGAAGAAGGGAAGGGCAAGTCCAGAAATCCTAAGTTAAGCCTTTCTTTGTGTGAATTCACCTTTGCTACCAGGGGTCCAGCAATTCAAGTACAGCTACTTTTGAAATGGGATTTCAGAGCAGAGATACCTGGAGGATTTCATGCTGCTGGAGCAGTTCAGCATTAACCTACCACTGCAGCTGGAGGGACAGAGGGAGGAAGGTCTGAGTCAATACTCTTGTGCAGACCCAGCTCTGCTTCATGCTCTATAAGAATGCAGGTAGGACAGAAAACTGTTTTGGCACATACGTAGTGAAACTACAGGATCCACTGTGAGGCCAAACAGTGGGGGGGAAATTTCCTTCTAAAATGCAATGAGAAAAAAAGAAGTGAACTTTAAGCAGTGGTTGTACTAGTTACCCTTCACACAGCCTTACCTTAGGTAACATTTCAGAGTAGATGACTCTACTGTTTATGGAATGACAATGTTGTTTGTTAGGGAGATGTCAGGCCAAAAGTTAAGAAATCTCTCCATGGTTGAAAGAAAAAGAATCAGAGGGACGAGCTGGCTTCAGGCAGAGACTAGTCCAAACACACTTGAAGGACTAAATGCCTCTGTGGACAGGTTACATTGATGTCTCTCTAGAGAAGGCACAGCTATTAATGAGCAAGAAAAGTTACTCCTCCTCTGAAGGACAACTAATATTTTAACCATCCAAAGAACTCAAACCATGTGAGTCCCTTTCCAAAGCAGACAAAAAGGTAAGGAAAGGAAACAATGTCGCAGCTGTTGAATCAATAATGGTTGCAACTTCTTTCCATACACCTCATCCTCTGTAAAGGATGTGTTATTGTTCTCAGAATTCCTCGAATCATTTGTTAGAGTGGGGTAAAAAAAATCAGAGGACCTCAGTGTGGTTCAGCAACAGAAAGCCACGTAATACTATTTATGGTAATGAACACCAAAAACTTGAAAATGAAGTGAGCTAATGATGTATATATGGTATTAAAAATAAAAAATGAGGTAGGAAATTACCAGGAAGTGACAATTAATACCAAAGAAACCACATCATGAAAGATACCTGTAACCATTCAGACTGGCAGAGAAAATGAATTCCAGTTGCTGAGTTAACTGGGGGGGACATAATAAAAGCAGAAAACAAGTTTAAACATAGCACAACTCCAGCTAACATTCCAGTGCATAGTTTCAGAGATGCAGCAATATTTAACACATTTCCAAGGTTTGGTATTCTTTGCCTTTCAGCTGGTTCAAAATAATTAGTTGCAATATATTACTTTTTGGGGTATTTAACAGGAAGAATAGAATTCCATTTTACTAACCTTTGGTCCTAATATGGGATGAGCATGCTCGTGATCTACAGGGGCTCCAAAAACTCATTCAGCTCAGAAGTGCTATTAAGGAAACAGTTGGTTTTAATTCAAGTTGTTGTCTGGTTTAGCAGCTAATAAATAATGTGGTTTGCTATTACTATAGTGCTTTGAAAAGCCTGTCAGAAGAACAAGACACTGACCAGACCATTGATTGTCTGCTTAGGTCGGAACATTTTCTCAACACACAGATCAGTGTCAGAAATAAAAGCCCTAAACTTTAGTTTAATAGAAACTTAAAGGAAAATATAATATACACTGATAGGATACTTGCAAGTGAGAAAAGATCGTTGATGTAAGCTCATCCCTCAAAGACTGAACAATCCAGATGTATGGGAAGTGGGTGACTCACTCTGCTGTGGGTTGAGTTTTGCAGCAGTCCTGAGCAGTAAACACATCCAGGACCTCACAGTTTAGACCCTATCCTTGAAGTTTTAAAGCTTCTTCCATCTCACTGTATGAGACTGATACGCTGGAATCTGTATCTATTCGAGGGAAGACCAAGAAGAACATATGAGGAGTAAATAATACGTATTGCTGTCTTGCAGAGTGGCAATGGATTTGTGTGCCATCCAATACAAGAAGTTATCAGCCTGCTCATCCCAATTTTGCCACACAGGAAGCTATCTCGAGCTTTAGCAGCCATGACTGAAAAGACTGAGCTTGGAATACTGTAAGAGGAGCAAAAAGCTAGTGTTTTCATGCATGCTCAAGACTGGCCTGTCTTGCAATTGCTTTACAGACCTCAGGTATAGGGCAGTCTCTACACAGCAAGCAGCAGCAGTATAGCTCTGTTATTGGATCAGAAGTTAAGAGACAGTCTCCCACTTCTAGCAGAATAGCCTCTTGTCCACTTGTCCTATGGACACACATGGCACTTCAGGAGGCTTGCAAGCTTCTAAAAGCACTGCAGCTGGCTTTCAGGAGCTGCTTATAGAAACCTCTAACCTAGCTGTGTAAAGGTTAGTTTGTATAACTAAGACCATACCTGGAATCAAGAGTCAAAGCACTCATCTATTATCTAGGCATACAGAAGAATCTGCCTCCTCCTGTAAGTTAGGTGAAAATCCTGTGAAGTGCTTTGCTCTTTCAGTCCTGCCTAATGTAAAAACACATGTTGTAAACCAGTTAGCCAGTAGACTAGAATTCAAAGGAGAGTTCAAGCCTCTATTCAGTAGCCATTACTCTCCAACCCTATTTTTTGGCACAGAGAAAGGGAGGAGAAGGGAGAGGGAAGACATTTCCTTCACCCTCCAAACAGCCCCAACACCCACCAGAAGGAACCGACTGGAAAACAGTATTACTGTAGTTAAACCTGAAGCCATTCCTGGTTTACTTCAGAAGCATTAAGCCCACCTAGCAATTTCTGACCTGTTGATCCAAAACGCTCATGCAAATAGAACAGGTATAATCCAATAAGCATCAGCATCAATACTTCCCCATCCTTTCAGCAGTGGCCCCATCTCTCACGCAATTTCAAGACATTAACCCTGTTAGAAACAAGAAGAGCTTTTACAGTACCCTGCCACCCAGAGATTCAATTATATTATTCGCTGGACTGTTTAAACTTCTCATAATGAATGGACTAAGGGAGGCAGAATTTACATCTTTCTTAAAAGCAGGTTTATAAACAGATCTTCTGGATTTTAACACAGCTTTATTTAAGCATCTGAACATCAACAAATCCAGAGCCCAGTTAACATTGTTCATGGTTTCAGCATGTTTTGTGTATATATATATTTCATATCTTACATCTGATGAAGAAATCCACAGCGTGCCTTATTACCCCAACATCCAAGGGATCACTACAATTTGCCAAGCCAGGGCATTTGTTGGCATCTTGTCCAGAAACCACTCTGGAGATGGCTGCAGTTTCCCCCCTTTTGTACACACAGGAGGCCTCCAGGCTTCTCATGCCTCAGCTTGCAGCACTCTACCTTGGAGCCAACCTGTTGGTCTGATGCAGAGTATTGCAACCAGGACCTGCAGGTCCATGAGCCTCCTTCTTCCTTCTGATGGAAAAGAGCAGACTTAGGGTGTATTGTAGGCACACCTTAACCACTCCACCTTAAGGACATGATTATCAGTAGCTATTACAAGTTATCTACCTCTGCCAGTGCAGAAGCTTGGGTCAGACAATACCAAACAGGTCAGACTTGTTTCAATAAAGACTGCTCTGTCCCAGGGATCTAGAAGAGCTCAGTCCACAGAGGATTCTCATACCGCTCCTTAACACTTGAGGGAATGAAAAGTGGAAGAAAAAGAAGGGCAGGTTTCTTTTCCAGCACCACGTTCAATCAGCATTAGCCTCTTATGTAGGTCAAGAGATGTCAGAGGACCTGACAGCTGCTGAAGTGAGGAAGACAACAGTAAAGCACAACCAAGCAGATCTGTAGACTGCATTCATGAAAAACACTGGCAAAGCCTCTAACAACTTAAGGGGAGGAAGGGGGGGAGTAAGAAGTGCAGAGGAAACCTGGGTATTCCTCTTTACTAACACCACCAACCCCAGGAGAGACCCCAACACACCGGCCAGTTGTATGTTCATATTTGATATGTGACAAAATACCAGGAATTTAAAAGTAGCTTAAAAACTTTAAAAGCCAGGTCCTGAAGCAACTCAATGCTTCGGGGAGAACAGATCAGACAGTCCAACTGCTTTTTATTCAGATCTTCTCCCACTTGCACTATAACCATCCATTTCAGAACAGGCTAAAGCTCTGGAATTATGTCAGTTAGTGCCTCCAGCACATCAGCTGGAGAATGATGCTATGTGATCCACTCATCAGCACAAGTGACTTGGAAGTGTTAAAATAGTGCAATCTTAAATGAGCAGATTTGGAGGGGGGGTTTGGTTCCTTCTCCAGAGGCAGAGGAGAAGGTGGGGAGTGCAAAGGGGAAAGAATTAGTAAAAAATAAAATAAAATAAAATCCTGCATTCAAGCTCATGTCCGAGATAAACTTATCCCCCAAATCCTAATGCCAGCATCAAGATAAAGTGAGCTGTTTGTATCCCATCCCACCCCACTGTAGGGCCTCACTCACTGAATCTCTGAGTCAGAGGGAGACAGTACCAAGTGTCACAGAGATGGAGGCTCAAGAGGTTTCCTAGTCTCTTGGTCTTTGCTTACAGGACACTGGACATTCTCAGTCCCTGACATGTATAAGCCCTATTTGGAGCAATGCAGCAATCCCCACATTTCATTTTCTCCTCCATTCAAAGGTCATTTCTTCTCAGCAGCACTATCCACCTCATCCCACTTCCTGTCCAGAAGAACAGCAACACCTCCTGCTCCCACTGGCCCTTGCTCAGAGGCCAACTAATCTGTTTTGATCCTCATCCTGATCCCAAGCTTCCCCCATCCCGCATCTGAGGCAAGAAGCAGCCTCAGAGTCATGTTTATTCAGGGACTCCTTGGCTAGTCTGGTAGTGATCAGAGGGGAGAAAGGGAAGGATCTGGGGAAAAGGGGACTGGAATGGCCTTTTGTTTCCTTCTAGCTGGTCAGAGGCTTTTCCCTTTTTTCAGGGCTTCAAGCTTGCTCTTTGTCTGCCCTCCACAGCCGCTCTTTGACTTCCAAGGGCAGTGTGTTGAACAAGTCCTCCTCTACCACAAGCCCACTGCGTTTCAGCAGAGGACATTCCCCCAGCTCCACAGGCAGGCACTCCAAGCGGTTCCCTCGTAGTTCTATCTGTGAGAGGTTTGTGAGCTCTCCAACCCGGGATGGAAGTGACTGCAACACATTGTTTCCCAGGTTCAATGTTCTCAGCTTCCTGCACTGGAACAGCTCCGGTGGGAGACTCTCAATCTGGAAAAAATAAATCAAATCAATCAGTCATAGGCAAAGTCACCAGCAAACAGAGGTGCCCATGAGAGACCTAAAAGCCCATGTAACACTTAAGGTTTACAGAGCACATGGTTTTGATCATATACTTCTCCTTCAAGTGAGCTCCTGCTTTCAACCACACAGACTGTTCCCATAGTAAAAGCCATTCCACCACGGCTGTATGGATTCCTCTTCCAGACACTGCATTAGAGATCAGCAATGATGGTGGCTAAAACAGAAGACATCACCAAGGACAGAACTAGACAACCAGAAACCTGCTGACAGTTGACTTATACTGTTACATGCTCTCTCCATCCCAAACCCTTTATATCATCATTAGACCATAGCTCCTTTGCTTTAAGCAGCCATTGTACACTGGTATCATACTGAACACCATAAAGACTGGATTTAGTCCAGACTCTTAGCTTGGCTGTAATAAGAACGAAGGCTACATGGGTACAATCTCCAGGCCCTGAGAACTGGGACTATTCTTCCATCATTTCTGCAGGGCTTTGAAATGTCACAATGACTTTCTAAGCTCCAAAGCACAGGGGGTTTTGACAATGACAAAATGCAACAAAAGCCCATGAAGGCACCACCTCCTTCATGTATCCATGAGTCACTAATTTAGTAAAGCTTATTTTAATAGCCCAGTCCTCCCAAAGAATTTCTAGGAAAATGACATGGCTTAGGTTTAACCAACACCAGGCTAGAAACTATATGTAGCAATTCAGTATTCTCCCCTTAATTCCAACTCTCAATTTGGAGGCTGTCATTTGCCTTTAAATGGAACCATATCCTTTCTAAAAACTTAAGTTATGCATGATATCATTCATGGCTAAATTAGACTGTAATGAGTTCTGAATGAGACGGAGTCCAAGGAAAAGCCAAAATGAAACCAGACCAATGAAAGACACTTCAGTCATTGTTACTGTCGAGTGTTTTGCAAACAGCAACATGCAATCAAATGATCACAGACTCTTGAAAATAATGGTGTTATTTGAGGGACAAGTATTGGTTTAGGAAGGAAGCAATGTGCTATAATACAGCCTGCTTCCCAGAATGGTACACCAGTACCAGCCAGCTCCAGAAGTGTCTATTTGCTAAGAATGCTGAGCAAGGAAAGGACATTGGAAATGCCAGTCCTACCAGTGCTTGTGTTTCTTGCTGTCACTGTTCACTGTAAGCAACCAGGCTGTTAGAGCCCCAGGGCAACTGTGGCACCTGCAGAGGCTGCAAGAAACTTAACTGTTTACCTGGGTCCTCCCCACCTTTTGCTTCAGAACAGACTGGAGAGGAGGCTGCTGCAGCCTTCCTGTTGCATTAGCATTTTTTTTTCGGAGGGAAATGGGTGGTGCCACACTATGCTGCAGAAAATGGAGCTGCCTCTAACTCCTTTCATCCAAGAGATGCTCCACCCCAAAACTGCAGAGGATACACTGCAGATTAACCCGCAGGAAGCTCTGCAATGAAGGTTGCCAGAAGATAAATGGTGCGGAATTACCTGAGTTCTGAAGAGTATCTTAAGAATCTTTAAGAGTCCCTCATGTTTGGTTAACACCATCCTCAAACTGTCCATATCAGCCCCACTTGTCCCAAGAAAGTATTTTGGGTTTTAATTTAATAGGAAATGATGTGTGCAGACCAGGAAGTTTACCAGAGCTTCAGGCACCCATACAAACAGAGACACAGTCATCCAGTCTATCAGTGCTGGGAAAACCAGGTAAGCAGCTAATAAACTGGGATAGCCAAAGGGGTGCTGCTTGTCTGCCGCTACTCTTCAGGGGTAGAACACTGAACTGAACTTCCAGACACTAACTTCAGAATGCTGACTGGAGTTTTAGTAACCCTGTGTAACACTGAACTCCATTAGCAATTAAATCCTTGATTTGAGAGCATTTCCCCTGTGAATAGCCAAATCATACTGCAGCTGCTCTGCCTGCCTCTCACAAGGCAATTTGACAATGTTCAGTTATTAATATACCTTGCCAACACCAGTGAGGATCTTGATACATAGCAGTGAAAACCAGGAGTGCTCCAGGACAATTCTACTGCATGTTCCCAGAAGAACCCAAAAGCCACTAATTAGATCTGTCTGTAATTTGTAGTTATGTTACAGCCTTTTGCAACTCCAGGTGGTAATAAACTCCAAGAGAAAAAGAGCCTCCCAGGAATTTGCAGACAGAATGAATGAAAGCTTCAGCAAGCCAGTCAGCTCAGTACATCTGTGCAGTCACGGACTGATCTTTGTGATACACATGGTAAATGAAGTCTCCTTAATCCACAAACACAGGAACAAGGATTTAGGAAAAAACATGGGTACAGTTTGCTTTAAGCAAATAAACACCCTCCAACACAAGCCAAGAAACAACTTGTGGTAATCAGGCAGCACAGAACACTTGGTCATCCCCTATCTGCCCTGTGCTTAGACAGACTTAATCAGCTAAGGCTTAGACTTAACCTATCTGGGATTACACAAGAAAATCCACAGCCATCATGCTGAGGCATAGCAAGGTGCCATCGTATTTTCTCCCCCCTGAAAAATCAAGGAATTGCCACAGTTCACACACTCACATCTTGATAAACCCGGTTTAGCTCACTCTGCCTTGAATAAGGACACTGCAGAAGATTGCTTTGCTCTCTCCAAAGTCACATTAAGCTGCACACAGACTGCCCTAGATGGCTGCTGCCACAGTGTATGTACATGACTGAAGTACGTCAACTGCATATTTCTAGATCAAGACTACAGTTTCTCAGACCTCTGTTTTAAATCCAGAACTGGCGTCAATCTCGAGACTACCTGCTTCCAACTGCAGAGGAACAACTGACAGCCAGGATTTCTAAACAGCCTCCAAAAGACACTTAGAAGAAATGCTAGAGAACAAGGGCTGCTCAAAGACCCTGGAGTTATTTGCAATGTCTTGCCTTAGATAAACCCCTCAGAGAAACAAAAGCTTGAGAATTTAAATAGAACAGCAGAGCCAGGAGGATTTCACACACCATTGTAGCATATTTAAACACACAGGTAACACTTACCCTGTTGGCTGTCACAGCCAGATTCTGCAGGTTTTGAAGAAGTCCAACATCTGGTGGTATAAAAGTCAAGTTGTTGTGGCTGAGATCCAAATAGCGAAGTTTCCGGCAATAGAAGAGCTGGGTGGGGATCTTCTCTATCTTGTTACGGTTCAGGTAGAGGCGTTCTAAGTTGGTGAGGTTGCCTATCTGCATGGGGATGTAGGCAATGTGGTTGTACCACAACTTAAGGCAAGTGAGACGATGTAAGTGCTGGAAGCTGATGATCTCCTCAATGGTCTTTAGGTTATTGTCCTTCAGGTCTATCTCCTGCAGATTGTGGAGGCTAAAGATAGAGTGAGGAATGCGTTCCAAGTCACAACGGATTAGCTCAAGCTCTGTCAAATTGACCATTTTCTTAAGGCTGTTGAGAACAATAAGCTTGGTGCCCTCATTGTTGATGGAAAGCTTCTGAAGATGCACACCAACATCTGTCACCACCTGTGGCAGCTTGGTGAGGTTACTCTTCAACCTCAACACCTTCAGCCTCTTCAGTTCCCTCAAGCCATCTATCACAATGTACCGGTTGTTTTCAGCACTCAAATTCCCTGTCAAGTGAAGCTCCTCTAGTGTCTTCAGGCTATAAATCCAAAGAGGAATCTCCTTAATGTCTGTGAACTTGATGTGGAGAGACTTCAAATTCTCCCTTAAGAAGGCAAGAGCTGGAGCCTCAATTTTGGCAGCTGTGTGGTAGAGCCACAGTTCCTTAAGGCTGGTGAGCTGAGCAATGCTTGGGGGAATAGTGACATCGGGGATAAGCTCCAGCTTCAAGACCTCTAACTCAATGAGGTCAAAAACCGTGTCAGGGATGCCACTCAACATGAAAAGATGCAGTTCCAGCTTATCCTGGGAGTTCTTGGTGATCCTCTGGCGCAGCTTCTCCAAAGTCCACTCATTGTTGAGGTTCAGCTGCCGCAGCTTGTTCTCACTCACCTCCGACAGAAAGACAGCGAAGCGCTTGGAGTAGAGGGGGTCATACTGATCGATCAGATGGAGCATAAAAGCAAAGTCATTTTTCACATCAGGGATGTCACTGTAACTGCTCTCCTCCCGGATGGACTCAAAGGAGTATTTCTTGAGTGATCGCCTCAACATCCACCACAGTGTGTACATGCAGATCAAGCCATAGAATATCACCAGACTGATGTAGAAAGAGGCCAAAATCTTGAAAAGAGTGGCTAAAGGATGAGCACAGCGGTACATCCTGTAGCCAGTCAAGCTCTCAATGTCCACTTTACAGTCAACATCAAAGGTTATGTTGTTGACATAGTAAACAGTATAGCAGATGATCAGAATGAACTTGATCACTTTGATGATGGTCTGTCTCATGTACAGGCGATAAACTATATCTCCCTCTTCAACGTGCGTGCGGAACTTCTTCACTTTCTCAAAGAGTGCTTTGGCCTGTTCACCCTCCTTCTTGTCCAAGACACCAGTTTCAGACCGGTCCACAATCCCTTGCTCAATTCGAGACTTTGTTCTCTGCAGCATGGGGACAGTGGCTTCCACATCCTCACTGACTGTGGAGGATTTCTTGTCCATTGAGCCATTCATTTTCCCAAATGCTGGCTTGGTATCACTCTCTTCCACCACTGTCTCAGATAACGCCCTTGTTGTCCATGGAGAGTCAAAACACTTAAGCAAAATAGACACGAAATGCTCCAGCTTGGAGCTGGTCCTTGGGAATTTGAACCAGAAGTTGCTACATGCCAGGAAGATGAGAGTATGTAGCAGCACCAGATAAGGAAAATACTTGGCAAACCAGTGAAGACGGTTCTCATAACACACCGCATCCACATAGTTATACTGGTGCCGGTCCAAATCGTATCGTATCCCCGTAGGCCCTATATCAGTAGAGGGAACAAGATTAGAGTTATAGTAGGTACGCTCCGGGGTGGCAGCTGTCCAACCTCTGACTGAGTCATTGCAAGAGTCTTTGGTAATCCATTTACAGGGCAGGCAAATCATTTTGTCCTGGGTGACCTGAAGTGTCCCTCCAAACACTGCAATCATCAGCATCACTATGGAGATGTAGTCGGTGAAGACATCCCACCATGGCTTCAGGATGCGGTACGCGGGCTGGGTGTCAGCAAAGTAGCGCAGCTCAGTGACTGGAATCATGATTCACCTGAAAGGAAACCAGAAGCAGCATTATCAGCTTCAACTGCTTTGTTCTGCTTTTCAACAGAGCATCAGAAAAATCATGGTAAGTGCTGGCACAGCAAAACTGGAATTAGATGAGACCCAATTTCAAGTCACTTGGAAACAAATGAATGAGGCTTCTTGTGAGTAATTTGCTACAGCTGAGGCTGGTTTGTTGCTGTCTTCCCTGACAGATGAATTGTCACAAAACATCAGAACTGCTCCTTATCATTAGCAGTCTGTGGAGCAAGACATTCACACTTAAAGAAAGCTCACAGGACAGACTTAAGCTACCATGGCCAGACCAGTATTTGGCAGTTTACTGGTTTTATCTAGAGATTTTATTTCAGGGATGAAGGAGTTTGCCAACACTGTTAGAAGTGATAAAACCCACACACAGAGCATAGCTGTCATGAGTTTGATGCTGGTTTGACAAAGCTAGAAAATAAGTCTGTATTCTCAAACCCTAGGGGCGAGGAAGAGGATTTACTTACAATATATTGTACTTCCTAGAACCACTGCATTGATGCAACTCAACATCACACTGACAAAGCAAGCTGGAAAAGAGAACAAAGTTGCCCAATATCATGACTTTTCCTTCCATGTAAGTAGTTTTGGCTTCCCTCCTTTGCATTCTCCAAGGAAAGATTAGTTCCATGCCCTCTGACAGATTCAGCACTGAAATCCTGTAACATCTGCTCTTTGCCTTATTTACTTTAGAATTAGCGGAAAGGGGAGACAGACTTAAAAGAGTTTACTTCCCTGACCAACCACTCCCACCTTGAGTTCATCTCAGCTGGGATTTAAGTGTCACAAAGGAAATCAAAAGGTTCTGGGAAGCAGAGGCCTTATGGCAGTGCTTGTTCTGTTCTTCAGACTTCCACATGAAACCAAGCACATTCTTCAGCAAGTCAGAGAAAGCCCGGAAGCCAGGCTGATCCAGGAATAACTGAGCTCACAAAATTCCCCTGACAGGCAACGAAAGCAAAGAACATGAAGTTATCGTAACTTGTTCTAATGATGGTGGAAAAGAGGTCATAACACATCATACTTGCTAACAAAGTTCAGGAGTATGACAACATTTAATCATGTTTCCCCGACCCACAAGGTATCATTTGTTCAGACAGTGTCAACAAGTCCTGGGAGTTCTGTAAGGTTGACAGCAGGTTTCTACATAGCACTGGCTGGGAGAAAGCTTTCTCTGACAACTGGGGTGCCCACACCACCCAATCTGGTAGAATTCAAGTCTGCACTTAAAATGAACTTCCAGCACAGAGCTGCAAAGGAAGTCCTACCTAATATGAACTCAAAAAGCACCACATTCCCCCAAGATACTAAATATGGAACTCTAGTCCCTGGTTTGCTGCTTACAACAATAAGTGGTAAAATGCCAGCTTTGACTCAGTGTGACTTGCTAAGGCTGCAAGCAACTAGAGGTGGTAGATTGAAAGATGACAGTCATCTCTGAAGAAGTGTTCGCCCTTCTGCCCGTCCAGTCCCAACACTACATTTGTCCATCGCAAAAGAGACTGGGGTAACTCTACAAGCAAATTATTATTTTTTGGAGTGAGGAATTTTGAGAGAAAAATGGAATTACCTGTTCTGGAAGCTCAGAAAAACAAGCAGAACAGAAAATAAACTGATTTATCAGCCAGTGAACTCATACAATCTTGGTACAAGATGCAGAAGAAAGGGATGAAAATAGCCATATACAGCACTGTGTGAAAAACCTACTGTTCTGGCTGCAGAGCACTACTGAAGTGGCTGGCGTGTCTCTGCAGAATGGACTGCATTGAGCGTATTAGGGCAGGAGGATTTACACATTCACAGGGAGAGGGAAGAACAGGCAAAACTTCTGAACAGCATCTGAGCAGCTAGAATAAGAGGAGTGACAAGATGTTCAGAGCCCTCCAAGTCCTGATGCTTGTTTGCTGCAAGGCCTTTCAGCCATGCCTCAGCTTCCTTCTCTGAATACATCCACCTCAGGGAGGAGAGTCCATGGAAACTCTTCAGAGGCACCAAACCAGGATATATACATGATTTCTTGTGCGTGTACTTTGTTTGTTTTGTTAGGACCCTGCTACATCAGGCTAGGAAAACAAGACAATTCGTAGAGAAACCAGGAAGTTCAGCTACTGGAACATTTCAGAGCCAGGACAGGACCACAGACATACTGCTGGACTACAAGGGAAAACAAAGAAGACAAGAACAACTTGCCCTCTCTGTCACTCTCTGCATCCCTCCCACTGGAACCAGACTGAGGGAGCAGAGTCCTGCACTTCTACAGTCCAAATAAGAGAAAGCCTGGAGAGCTTTGCAAAAAGGCTACTGCAGTTATCTGCTGAAACACTTAACTTTGACATGGCTTAGCTTCCGAAATCCAACTATGCTTGCAGGTCAGCAAAGCTTCAGCTCTACCAGACTCATAACCCAGGGGAGGCTTTGAGAGCCAGAGGTCTCACTACACAGGACCTTAAGGCTGCATGAGAGTCCAACAGCAGTCTCCCAGCAAGTACACATCTTAAACACTCTTGCCAGATATGATGGAAAGCTTTTATAGCGACTCCTTCTAAACTACATCTAAGAGGTAACAAATGCTGACATACCATCCACTGCTCTCCATAAACACTGTGCCAGATCCTCTTTTCTTTTCAGGAACATGCAGTGAAAACACCAATGCTGTTCATAAAAACTGGTCCCTATGTAAACAATTCCTTACTCCTCCTACCCCCACAATGAGGAAAAAAAATTCTTATATATTTATCTCTTTCCTCCCACCTCCAAAGCTTCATGACTCTCGGTAGGGAAACTTGTGCAGGCATTTTCAAGGTCTTTCATAGTTACTCCTAGAAGTAACTGAAACAGAGAAGATCTCTTCAGGAATTGGGGTCTCATGGCATTTGCAGCCTTGAGCTGTAGTGCTGGGCTGCTAGTTTTGTCCAATCCAGGAAATGCCTAATTTCTTCTCATAAGAAATCAACTTTGTGCTTACTTTGATTTGTATCTCAAGACAGCTAGGAAGGAAACCAAAAAGAAATCAGCACAGCAAGCTCCCTAATTCTGTTTACTAGTTATACGGGGTAAGAAATTTTCCTTTACATTGTGCACCTCCAAGACAGCTATCCCACGATAGTCTTTTACAGCTCAGTGTCAGCAATTAAACTGCGGTAGGGCGGAGCAGGAAATCTGCCTTCCAGCAACAATGACAGGGTCACTGGAGGAAGAAAAGGATATTCACATCAAAGTCCCCACTCCTCCTGGCAACAGTGGAGACCCTGCTCAAGTCCCAGAAAAAGAACAATTAAACTGGGGCCACCTCTACAGAAGCTGGATTTTGCCATGTCTGTCTTAGTCCCAGCATCTGCAGTAAAAACGAAAATTGCCCATGAAAAGCTTGAGAAGGCAGGTGGGAAAGTTGCATCCCTCCTCACCCAGATTTCCCATGCATGCAATCCATTTCTGGACCATGAAAGACTGTTCTGCCCCAAGACGCAAACGTCATCTTTATTTTGTGGACACCATTTTGCAATCATTTTAGAACGTGATTCTTGTTGCAACACTCTTCCTTCTGGAGAAGACCAAGCAGTTTTGCTGCTGGGGTTGACGAAAACAGCAGATTAACTGCAAGATGTCAGATTCTCAGGTGCCATCTCTGTCACTTGACACTACCCTGTGGGGTGGGATTCTTCCTATCAAGACTGTGATTCCAACCACTATACAGAAACCAAGCAGGTAGCTGGAACACAGACCCTCACAACAAGAACACAGGCAGCAGAACAGAACAATTTACATGGAGGATATTATTCTGGCATAGGACTAGGAATAAACCTTGAGTGAAGACAGCTGGCCAAAAATAGAGTTACCTTGTGACCAAGACCAGACCAAGCTCCACAGGACCAGCAAGCATACTGCAGTGGTTCCAAGCTTCTGCTTGAACTCAGGAGTTGAACTCCAGCATGCTTTGTCAGCGGGAAAGCATTTATAGTGAAGAAGTTTCATTTGCTAAGACACTTCTGTCATGCAGCCTCACTAAAGGTGGAGCACAGAACACATGAACTGAGTGAAGGAGTTTATAGACAGGAACAGTCATAACTGGAAAGGAAGTACTGTGCCAGAGCAGTCTTTGTAAAGCAGGACCCAAGCTCATTCTTGTATGCTTCAAGTTGCAGAACTTCCCAGTTGGAGCTCAGAAATAGGCAACTTGCTTACGCTACAGTTAACTGCTGCATGGAAGGCATCAATACTTAGATTTTGAAAGAG